AATATATAATCATAAAATTATTCGAATCGCTCGGTCATATTTGCATTTTATTATAATTTCAGAGAAATTTAAAATTTCGCACAGATGTAAATATTTATAGAATAAATTCGTCTTTTTCTTGATATATTTCCTCTTTAGCTAAAATAAATATTAATGACAATTCCATTTGCGGCCATCACGCGAATAAAGCAAATTCAATAGAACTAGATAATTAGAATGTATTGCATTTCTGTTAAAATGTCGCTTAAAGCACAAGCTTTGAAGCACAATAAAGTTGTGAAAGAAATTCAGATAAATGTACTCAGAAAAATGACAGAATGGCGATTGCACATCAAGCAAAATGAATCACTTGGCTAATTAGACCGTGATTTTAATTCAAGGCTGAAAGTTTGATTTAAAGAGTCGCATCTTTAAAAGAACAACGGCACTCAAAGTAGAACTGTACATCAAACTTAGAATTTAATTGCACTCTCCGAGAAGGAAATCGATCACTCACGAACTTTATTCGAGTGTACGCGTGAAACAGCACAAAATATCGGGGACGCATTTGTCATAACCGTATGGTTTTCTTTTCGCCATTTGATCGATTGCAATTGTATATCGAGTTATATATCGCACAGTATACCGAAGAAATAATATGATTACAATCGTCTTTTGCAGATAATGCTTCTGGCGAAAAATATTAAATATAAAAAAAGAGAACGTATAAACTTTTTTTTAAAGTAGCGACAGTAATTAAGCATATATTATAAATGGAAATCTTTTGATGCACGATCTATTTTATATCATTTCTGAGACTTATTTGTCTATCTACTCCTTTCTACATCCAAACAATTTTCCGTCTTACAAGTTGTTGTACGAAAACAAAGATGTCATTTAAAAGATTGAATCAATGACGGATATTTTTCTACGTTGCGTCACAACTTTTTGCGACGGTGTCAATCAAGATTCATAAAAAGATACTGAAAAATGCAAAAGTGTCATACTCGTTTCTCTCACCTTTTCACGATGTAAACTTCGATTAGATAGCTTTTCATATCTCGGACAGCGTGCAACTGCGCGGGACGAAGGTTCGCGGGGAGATCAAGTGAGTGGAACATTTCTGAGAGATGCTTTAACGCCCAAAGTTGCTGCCTTTTAAAGAGACATTTTTCCCGCAAAAAATTTCATTTTCCGGATGCGCAAACGCCTTTCATACAGAAAGATAATCAATTAAAATAGCGGATAGTAAAACCGCGTAAAATATACTTCACGTAAAGGAGGCACGTGACTCACGCCATGTTTAGCGCTGTGTCTCCAGATATCACGCGCCGTGTCTCCAGAAATTATATACGTACAGAAATTCCATACGTAAAAAATATATGAAATTTATTATTTCTTCGTGCAGGTAGCAAAGAAATATCTATATTTAAATTTTAAAACACTTGAAGTTTAAATTATATCCTGTATATCTCAAGCTATAAAATTAAAAAAATATAATATAATTTTTCGATATAAATAATAATGTTAATGAAGATATATGAGAAGTCAATGAATTAAAAATATGGCAATGTCCGAGATAATATTTCTTTATCGTATATTGTGAAAACAATGGAGCAGTAGGATAAGGTTCGTATGTACTTACTTTAGGATAGTGGATCGGTATCGCCGATGTGTATTGGAAAGATAAGCTTCCAGGATATCCATAAAATGGTATAGTCATAATAGGAGTGCTGGAGTCATCAAAATAACCGAAGACCAATTTAGTGCCGCTCGGAGAAAACCAGAGCGCCTTATTTGAGCTGAACACTTCCTCTGTAAATAAAGCAAATATAGATAAAATTAATTAATATATTATTAAATCCATATATATCATTACATACAGTATGTCCCAAAAGTTAGGTTAAATATCTCGTGATACTCTATAGCTTTTATATACGTATTTCAAGGAAATACGTATATAAAAGTTATAGAGTTTTAAGTATATCCATTAAATAGTAATATTAGGGGAGATTAGGGACAGTTGCAACGGAGGTAAGTTGTAATAATGCATACAGGGTGGGCCAAAAGTCTGGATACACCTAAATATCTCATATAAATGATGCATTTTAGAAAAAAATGTTTTTTACAAAAGTTGTAAGGTTTAAAAAAACGCATTTAATAATACTTAGTTAACTTAAGATGGCGTCGTCAAGGTCAGGTCAAGGTTAACATGAATTTTTTAAATGGAACCCCCCCTTTTTCATTTCATTCTTGTAGCTTATCTCGAAAGCTTTCCAAAACACTATAATTAATTTGTTATAATTAAGTTCATTTTCACTAAGTACGTTGCGAGTTATAATATAAGGCTTGAAAGTTACAGTACCGGGTAATTAGCATTACCCAAGATGTCCAACCGACGGCTAAAATCTCTTGAATGTTGTTTAGGATCATGTTCTGAATAACATTTGTTAAGATCAAGGTCATTCATTGAAGTATATTTCTCTTATTTTTATTTTTACATAAAAATGAATTTTCAGTGAAAAAATGAAAATAAGAGAAACATCTCCAGTGACCTTGATCTTGACAAATGTTGTTATTTAGGACCTAATCCTGAACGACATTCAGAGGTTCTAGCCGTCGGTCGGACACTTTGCGTAATGCCGGCGGTACTATAACTTTCAAGCGTTATAACTCGAAAAGTAATGAAAATGAATTAATTATAGTGTTTTGAAAAGCTCTCGAAATGAGCTAAAAGAATATGTAATGAAAAAAAGGGAGGTTCTATTTAAAAAATTCATGTTGACCTTGATCTGATCTTAACAACACCATCCTAGGTTAAATAACTACTATCGTTGAATGCGTCTTTTTAAGCCTTACAACTTTTGTAAGAAACATTTTCTTCTAAAATAGATCGTTTATAAGATATTTGGATGTATTCAGACTTTTGGCCTATATATCTTTTAAATTATTAGTCCACCCTGGAGGCATAAAAATCATATCTTATTTTGAGAAGTGATTATTAAAAAACTATACATAATACAAGAAATATTTTTATATCTATTTGTTACTTGTATTTGGATATACAAAATGTATAAAAATTATAATTCTAAAAAACAAAATGGCGGCGGTACAGCACGTTTTTTGGAGGTCTGCATATGATGAAGGCCTCCGCGATGGACAACAAAACAGATCTAAGATATGCTGTAACTAAAAATTAAAAAATTATTTTTAATCTGCGTTAAAAATTTGCTAAAGAAACAAAAAATTGGCAAAATTACAAAATATTGAAAAATGTGAAAATGGTGCATGCGTAAAAAAAAGTTCAATTTTTACATAAAGATTCGATATAAAAATATAGATAACAAAAAAAGTTATATAAGTTATCGCAAAAGTCACAGATATAAATGATGATAAATCTTAATTTCTGCCGCTCGCTGCTAGAGAATGTTGGCTCCAACGCTGGCGAGTTTCGACGGTGAAGTCATATGCAGTTAGTCTTTTATAGTTTAAACATCGCTGAAAGTGATTTAATTCTTACAGGTTAGATTTCTCGACGCCAAAGAAATTTTCCAATCGATTGAAAATGAATCGCGATAAACTTTTTCCGACTGATGTACTTCTTACTTTGACCTCAAGAAAACTGCAACTGAAGTGCATCGCTTATTATCCGAAGTGTATGGTGATGAAACTCCATTGGAAAGAACATGTAGAGTTTGGTTTGAACGCTTCCGATTTTGACGTGAGAGACAAAGAACGTTCAGGACAGCCGAAAAAATTTGAAGATGTCGAGCTGCAAGAATTGCTCGGTGAGAATCCAGCTCAAACGCTTCTAGAGTTTGTCAAAAGCGTTAAATGTTACTCCAAAAGCCGTCTCAAAACGCTTGCATGGGAAAGATTCATAAAGAAGGGATATAGCTATCACATGAGTTGTCATAAATGCCATTTTGAATCGTTTGTCTATCGCAACTTTGTTTGTCAGGCGAAGAAAAAAAGAGTTTTTTGTGGTCGTAACTGGCGATAAAAAATGAATATATTTTGATAATCCCAAACGGAAAAAATGATGAGTGGACCCCGACCCACTATACGCTTCAACGCCGAAGAAGAATATTCACGGGTATAAGACCTTGCTCTGCATTTGGTGGGACCAGGAGGTTATGTTGTATTACTCTTATGTCCAAATGAAACCGTTACAGCTGATCGCTACAAACAGCAATTATGTTGATTGAATGACGAGTTAATACAAAAAAGATCATCCGTAGCTAGCAATCGACGCAAAGTCATTTTGTTGCATGATAATACTCGATCGCATGTTGTGAAAAGCGTGAAGCAGACACTTTTATAACTTGAATGGGAAATCCTCCTGCATCCAGCATACTCTCCAGATTTGACACTGTCGGATTACCATTTCTTCCAATCGATGGAACACGCACTTACGGACACACACTTCTTCAGTTACAAAAAATCCAAAAATAGGTGGATGAATGGATTGTCTAAAAAGACACCGCGTTCTACCACAGTGAGATCGCCCTATTACCAGAGAGATGAGAAAAAGTAGTAGAAAATGGAAAAAATTACTTTAATTAAGATATTCATTCTTCTTCCTTTTGAAACAAATCAATTTTGGAGACGAAAAAACGGCAGGAATTAAGTTCACCATTTTTTTTAGATAATTCAATTGACAATAACTGAGCCAAATTACAAAGCATTTGAATTAATTTTGTAATAATTCTCGTGTCCACCGTTTTTTAAAACACCATTCTAAGAAAAACGCAATTAAAGTTTTAATAACAATCCCTTTTCGTCGTATTTTAAATATTTACTTGGACGCATTGATTTCTAACCGAAACTGGTATAATTTATATTAAAATTGTTTGTCAACGTATCAACATATCTACAGTACAGGTATGTAACTATAACGTCAAATAATGACGAAACTATTCATAAACGAAACAGTTTAACAGCGGCATGGAGGCACCGATTGCTGTACACCACTCGATATAATCTGTATCTTTGTTAATATTGTTTTAATTTTATTTTCGGAAAAATTTTATATTCTTAAGACCCTAAACTATCGATTTAAGCAAAAAGAAAATTTTTGATTTTTTGAAAGTTTCTACAGGATTGCCACAAGTCAGGAAAATCAGGGAAGTCATGGAAAAGTTATTTAGCAAAATTTTCTGAAAAAATAAAATGGCTGTAAAGAAGTTTAAAATTTAAATGATTTGAAATCTTAGTTTTTGTAAAAAGCTAAATTTTAAGTAGTCTGTTCTTTTGTTTATATCTAAGAAAGTTTCCTGTGAACTTATAAACAAGTGAGTAAAATAAATATTAATTTTATATTTTTGTGACTTTTCTTTCAAATAACCATTATAATAACAGATTGAGGTTTTAATAAACAAGATATAGTTTTGATAAAAAAGAAACTGTATTTATTGATTTATGTTCCTTATATTCTAAGTACAGCAGCAAAGAGAAAGAGAGGAAGAGGAAAAGTATCATGTTCATACATAAAAGGAAAAAACAAAAAATACTACTAACTTAACAATTAAATGCAGTGTCAACAACATTAATAGTAATTTATACTGTTATGTTAAACTGCTCTATCAACAAAATACACTGGGCAACAAAATTAACGCAACACCTGTTCACTCTGTAAAAATAGGCAATTTCAAGATACAATAACTTCAAAAATTGTCGTATCGAGACGTTTAAAAAAGCATTTTACAGGTAAAAACCTCTACTTTTCAGATCGCTACTTAAAAAACGGTCTTATGAAGATTTTATAAAGTTACACAAACATAAATGAAGATCTCAGACTTCAAAATTTTTTATAAAATTTGCGAAGTT